CTCTCATTTACCTTTTCTTTTTTAGATTCCTCTGTTTGTTGACGTGCTTGATTAAGCTATCTTTTCTAGCCCCATCTTACTTTAGAGTTGAAAGTCTCTGTTCAGTCATTGTATAGCCCTGTTGCCCAAGGCTATCCTGATAGCTTGTTCTGAAAGTCCCATAAATCTTTTCCTCTTGGGAATAGTCACTTATTCCCATGTCTTTTCAGGTTCTCTTTCACATAAGGAAGTGTACTAAATTTGTTCCTTACATTGACTTTATATTGTAACTATATATTTTTCAGGTTATGTCTTTCTGGAACACCTAGTCTCATTAATGTAACACGATTTATTTATTCAGCATCCTGTCAGCTTCAACTGAAATATGGTTTTGGTCATAAAATCAGCACGGGAAACCATAACAGAGTAAAATTATAATAAATACACATAATATAAATAAAAAACTACAGCTTTGCACAACTAGAAAATCCCTTAGCCTCCCAAGTTGTTCTAAATCATGCCAGCTAAACTTGAACCTCAGAGGAGGGTGGAGGCTATTCTATAAAAATGGGGACCATTACAGAAAAAAAAATTCCCTTTGGCCACATTTCTATCTCCAGACCTACTTATTATGAATGTTCTATGTCTGCTCCAATAACTAGAAGATCTGAGCATTTCCTCATCTGACACACAAACTTACTTAAATATTATAGACATGTCCGGTAGTTTGCAAGGGTCCTTGACTGTCGATACAGACGTGGTTTGCCATTGCTTGCTTTCACATTGATTTTAAAATTATTTATCATAGGTAGATTTACTTCTTTCACTTCTGCAGAACTACTGTAGATCTGCCCTCTGCTAGCTATAGATTATTCTTACCTTTTCCCTCTCTTTTTAGTATTACTGACAAGAATGAATTTAATAGGAGTTCCAGCTTCCAGCTTATACTGATCTCAGAATCAATGAAGTTAGTGAATCCTTTCACTCACTAGAATTGACAGGTTTGTGACATAGCTATTCCTATCTTTTTATTAAGAAGTACCTCAGAGCACTTAATTCAAATTCACCATCAATGGTAAAAACTAGTTTTCTTTGCAATGAGTGGAATTTGAAAGCTAGATTACAAATGGTTGTTGCTGTTGTTATTAGTATCTTTCTGAAGATTTCTGAAAAGGAGCAAATATAATGAACACATTAGATAGGTTTTTTTTCCTATACATACTTCTCATACACCCCAATAGGGTTCAATCTATTGAACAAACCCATTTTGGAATAATTTATTGTATACCACTTTCAGATACTTGGCCAGCAAAATTTCTTCCATCATGTCATTGACATTCTATTTTCTTATTCTACTCTGTTATTCTATGTTCTGAGTTCTAAAGTTTTTCATGGTGAGCAGGAAGATATGTATCTTCCACTCATATGTATAAGTGTGATTGTGTGTAGAGGTAGTCCTCAGCTTACAACCATAATGGAGCCTGCCTATTACAGTCATAAGTTGTGGCAATTCATGTGACTGATCCAATTTTATGACCTTTTTTGCTAAAGCAAATGCTGCAGCTAAAGCAAATGTTGCAGTTGTACAGCAACTCATTGTTCATTATGAACATTTTTACTAAAAACTGGAAATGATTGCTGATTTTCAGCAAAATATCATAAAAGTGCTGGCTACATTGCAAACATCCATAAATGAAGGCCGTTGCTAAGAGCCCAACATGCAGTCCCATGACCACGGAGGGGGGGAGGAGGAATACCGTATTTTTCCGCGTATAAGAGGCTATTTTTTTCTGCAAACACCCTCTTCAAAAATGAGGTGCGTCTTATACACGGAAAAATAATGGTAACCTCCGCAGCTAAGGGCATGCCTGGGTGGGTTGCCATGCCGCCTGGTGCAGGTGTCAAGCCCCTGTGGGCTTGCCACTAACGGGAGGGAGGAGGGGGCAAGATCTTTGGCTGGCCAAACTTCCAGATTTATACAAGGGTGCGTCTTATAGATGGAAAAATACAGTATGCAGACATCTGTGTAGGTGTGGTAGAGCAGTAATTTAGAATCCACTTTTAGAAAGTAGACAGTTTTGTCTTTTCTAAACTAAAAGATACCTGATATATTAAAATAAGTGCTAATAGCTCAAAGAATTGCAGAACAATCTACATGGATGTAATTGCAAGACTTTTTTTTGGGACTTCAGGAATTAATGGAGAAGAAAATCATCTGATTTGTACCATCATTTTATTTGTATTTGTAATACAATACAGGTAGTCCTCGACTTACAATGGTTTGTTTAGTGACTATTTGAAGTTACAAGTGACTTATGACAATTTTTCACACTTATGAAGATTGCAGCATCCCCATGATCATGTAATTGACAACTGATGCTTGACAACTGGTTCATATTTATGATGCTTGCAGTGTCCCAGGGACATGTGACCATATTTTACGACCTTCTGACAAGTAAAGTCAATGGGGAAGATTCACTCAGAATTGCAGTCTAATTAACTGCTGATTGCTAGGAGTTCGATTCTGACTGACTCAAGGTTGACTGAGCCTTCCATCCTTCCGAGGTCAGTAAAATGAGGACCCAGATTGTCGGGGGCAATGTGTTGATGTTGTAAACGGCTCAGAGAGGGCTCTAAAACACCATGAAGTATAAGTCTAAGTGCTATTGCTACTAATTTAACAACTACAGTGATTCATTTAACAAATGTGGCAAGAAAAGTCATAAAATAGGACAAAACTCATTTAACAAATTTTTCACTTAGCAACATAAATTCTGGACTCAATTGTAGTCATAAGTCAAAGACTACCTGTACAAACTAATTTACAGATCACAAACCTATATGCAAACCAAAATTAAATTTTGATTCATTTTTGTACTTCACTTTTATCAATGCATAGCAACTATAGTAGAAGAGCTATTTAACGTATAGGACTAAAATATTTAGTTGAGATGAGGAAAGAACCAGGAAATACATTAAAATAAAAAAATATCATTCCTTCCCAGACAGAATGATGTAAGGAACCTGACTCATTTTTAATATTTGTTCTTACTAGCTTTCTAGCTGTTCAGTTGTGCTGCTTGTAATACTAGGGGTTTGGCAGTTGCATATATGGGAAGTCAGAAGAAGAAATAATGTAAACATAAGGCAGCAAGACCTGAGGAGGAATGATGACTCTATGCCAAATCTACTTCCTTCGTGTCCTGTCTTCTAGTGACCTGCTAAGGAAATGAGTTTTGTTTTATTAATGAAGGAAAAGGAGACTTCTGAATAAAAAAATGCAGAACACAGTCCGGTCTCAAGTGTGCTTCCATAACAATCTCCATACATGCTTGTTATCTGTAACAGTGAGTACTAGCTCCCAGTCTCCCAATTGCCTCTAATTGGATAATCCCAGGCACTCATCCTGATTTATTCTATCAAAGCTCTCATGTTCTCAGTTCTTCCCTGGTTAAATAGCCTGGTGTTTAAAATTCTGTTGTTAGATTTCATCTCAGCATTCTGTATTATGTTCACAGTGTTTAGCTCCCTTTGGGGGTTTCCTTCCCCCCCCCTTCCATTCATGTCCAATTGATTTCAAATTCTCAGAGATCTCCTGGGTAGGTCCCTGCGGTTTTCTTCCCATGTCAGAAATGCCTTTGCCTCCTTCCTAGGGCCAAGAGAAACACTAGCCCAAGGTCACCCAGCTAGCTTCATGCCTAAAATGGGACTAGAACTCAGGTCTCCCTGTTTCTATACTGATGCTTTACACCAAGTTTGCTAATTGGGAATGGAGAGAAAGGATGTTGGAGACAAATGTGCTTGGGAGCCTTTCTTTGGTCACCAATGTCCCATTCTTAGAACAGAGTCCTTCCCTCCTCCTTCTCTCCTACTTCTTAGTATTCCAAACTATGAATTGGGTAAATACTTATCTAACATCCTAGGCCAGGACGTATCATCCAAGTACTCCAGGCCAGCTTGACCTTGGGCCAGTCATACCCTCTCTGCCCAACTCACCTCACAGGGATGTTGTTGTGGTGAAAATAGGAGGAGGAAGTTGTGCTGGATATCTTGGCTTCCGTGAGTTATTTGTAAATATAATAAAGGTTGAATATAAATAAGCAAATTCCAGGCCAGTTGCTGAGTCTAGTGTCACAACTCATTGTTTTTTTACGTACTTCCCTGTTTTGGAACAAGAATTATTTGTGAATTTATGTGCCTGTATGTTCACTTTGATTACAAATAGAGAAAACAACACATTTTTTCCTGTATTTTAATCAGAAAAAAATAGATCAAATACAATATTGTATGATTAAAAACTTTAGTTTTTTATTAATGAATTCATCAATGGTATATTTTTTTAAACCAACTGCCCATCAATTAAGCAATATAAAACTAATGATTTATAAATGCACTAAGTAATTGTTTTCTCAATGACACACAGTTTTCAAAAACTAATAACAGGAATTGATTTAGAAAAAGCAAAAAGCACAATAGAATATCATTTGAAGGATTTCAACAAGTTTTGGATTGTTGCAGACATTGAAAGGCTTTCTGTGTGATATCAAAATTGGAACATAAGGATGGAAAAATCGCACTGTATATTCCTATATTAAAACAACAAAGAGAAACTTCTGAGCTCATATTTAAAGAACTCCTGTTTACTAATGTAATACTATTGGAGGTTGCAGGCAATGACATCTTTTCGGGAATATATTCTCATTTGGAGACAATTCCTGGAATTGATGTAATTAGGGATTTTCAGTCATTAGGATCCTAAAACTGTTCACATTAAAATTAATACAAGTTTTACAATGTTGTTAATGGTTTCTTGGAAATGATGCTGCATGCCTTTTAACACTGTAATGTGTTTTTTTTTTATTTAAAGACCTTAGATCTTAGATACATCATGTTCACAAACTGTAATTGAAAATGAACCAGAGGTTAATACTTCAATGCAACAGCAAAGATGTCTGCTCAGTACAGTACCACTAATCTATTTTCTTTTTCTCTTTCTTGCTTTTCTTCTTTCTCTTCAATAGAAGTGGAACAAAAAGGTAATTAAATAGTTTTCACCTGTTTTATACATATACTCATTCTAAGCAATTAGAGGATAAAATGTTAAACTCTTGAATGTTAGTTGAAGCTCTTTCATCATTAACCTATACCACTTTAATCTCTTTTATTAAAGATTTGGTCAGGGAAGGAGTGGCTGCTATTTAATACTAACATGTCATCTTTTTGCAAGAAATGTTTAATAGTACCATTCTTCTTTCCTACAGATTGTTTTAACAATTATAATGTATTCCTTCTGCTTCCTCACAATTTATGGGAAGCATATGAAATAATTTGCAAGAATACTCACATACTCTCGTATTGAAAATTGTTTTTATATAATATTAAACATTTAAAGGTACAGTCTCATGCATGCCTACTTATAAGTAACTTTTTGGGTTTCAGTGGTATGTCTTTTTGAGTGTGTACAAGCTATAGCTTCAAAGTATAAACTGAATGAAGAAGGGTTTGAATAGTTCTTGTCCAAAAACTGAAAAGCTAAATTTTCTGTATATGGTTTGATGCCTATTACACTTGAACAGACAGCAAAGGATCAAGACCACACTGCATAGAGTATTTTTTCGAACTTACTATCTATGACACTTCACCCAAGGCTCTCACTTTTGGGAGAGTTTGGATCCATAAGTATATAGGGAACATGTACCTCTGCATTTGAGTGTATACTGTTCAAACGTAATATAGATTTCTGAAGATCTAGGATAAAGTTGATTGGTATACTTATTACACATTTTGTTATTAAAGTTTGCATTATCAAAACCCTGAAAAATATAATAGTACAGTATCACTTATTTAATAATGAATTTATTTGTGCACTTACTTGCTTGTTTTACTCATTTATTTATTATTGTTTGAAACTGACCATGCAGTTCTCAGGGCAATGAATAATCAGCTGAAATCATATTAAGGAAAACCAAACAATATAAAAGAAAGCATAGGAATTGTCAGCGCAAAATCACTAGCAACAATAAAAGGAAGTAACATAAACTCGCACTAATGAAGCAAGTCATTAAAAAAGTTCTAAAACCTTTAAAATTGTTTTTAAATGCTGGCATTATAGAGCACTAAATATATATATATATAAATATATATCAGAAAACATATATATATATATATATATATATATATATATATATATATATATATATATATATATATATATATGCCAGACAAACAGGACATCATCACTTTTGTGACTTCCCTTCTTTGGTGAGAGCAGATTGAGATACCTATAAATTTTTGAAGGCCCAAATGATTCTTCAGGATACATCCTTTAATGCTGTTTTGTCTAGACTGAATCTTTCTTTATTAGCTCTTTAACCAATTCCTTGTTCTGCTTCTGAATATCAATTGCCTTATTTGTATTAGGAAAGGAAGGCTGGGTGAAATCCATTTCATAATTTCCATGAAACACACAATCATCTCCTCAGTGCCACTTTTTGAATTAGCTATCCAAATAGGAGGGGAACCATTATGATAACTTCTTCTTCGTCCTAATTTGTTCATAAGGATAGTATGGTGGATGGGATTAAAAGTTATTGAGAGAAAATGACTTTAATTCAAAAGTGCCCAGTGAGGGTAACATAATTGTTTTAAATATTCAACCTGCACTAATAATAATAATTTATCAAACTTGAATGCTGCCTGGGTCTTAAATAGCAGTATACTCACAGCTTCTTTTGAAGAGGCTGGAACAGCCCATGTTCCTATGGCAGTTCCATAAGCATCATCCAGTTAACTGAGAAATCACATGTGGGCTTGCATTTTCATTGGGCAAGGCTCCTCTGAGGAGCATTACACACATGCACACACAAACACACGGTACCTCTCCAGCTTCTTACTCTTCATTCCTGCTATTTTTTTCAACCTTCAAGAAATAACCAAGCAGCCGCACAATAATTAGCTAAGAGAGTATTCCTTAATTTTCATCTGAGTATAAATTGGTTTCATTGGACACAAAAATGCCCTTGTGTGAGCACTTGCAGCTATCATTTTAAACATACCATATTTTCCGGCGTATAAGACGACTGGGCGTATAAGACGACCCCCGACTTTTGAGAAGATTTTCATGGTTTAGAAAGTCGTCTTATATGCCAGAAAATACGGTACATTTTTAATACCTCATTCCATTTTCAATGCAAAGACAAAGGGGCTTGTTTCCCCTACAATTTGCTCAGTTCAAAGTTCTAGTATTTACTATGCTTGGGAATACCCATGTTTAAGATTACAAAAAAAGAGATGAGGAAAATGTGTCTATTTATAATCATAATTTGAAAAAACTAATATCAAAATAAATTATCTTATTAATCAGTTCAAATCCTCCAATTTTAAATGTATTCATAGTGATATCTTTTAGTGACAGTCCAAAATGCTCAGTATTTGATTGTGAGAGGGATCCCTTAGGGCACTTTCACAGCATCAGTGTTTCTGTCACCCCTCATCTACACAAAAGGAAATAAATTGCTACGGAATTTTTCCATTCATGTTTTTAGTATAACAATTGTGCAGATTTGTCTGATGTTCTGCAAAAGAAAAAAAAGGTTGCAGAGTCAGAAATGAAAGTTCTGAGAATAAGAACTCAGTTCCCCCAAAAAAGTGATATTCAAAGCTAATCATGAAACTATATGTTGGGTGAAGGTGCTCTTATAGTGCCAGTGCAAAGGAATACTACTGTAGAAAGAAAGGGAATAAATCTTCCTTTGAAATTATATTTTTAAAAAAAGATTGAAAGAAAAAGAAGATAACGTTCCAAATAGTAGCATGAAAGCTGAAAGTTCTTTTTCTATTTTGAGCTGCTATTGCATTTCAGCCATTCTTTTTTTGAGGGACAAAGGATATTTGCTGAGAACACTCAGGTCCAGGGGTCCTTGGAAATTCAGTCTGACCTTAAAGGTTTGATTATGGCTGTCCAACCTTTTGGCTTACCTAGGCGACTTTGAGTGTAGGCAAATTGTCGTGGGCCGCATAGAAAATATCACTAATAACTACTTACTAATGTTAAAAATTTACGATCTTGTGGGGCTGCATTTTTAGCTATCCAGGGCCATATGTGGCTCACGAGCCAAAGGTTGGACACAGCTGATCTAAGGCACTATATAAGATTAAAAGATGTCTTTGATTCTTTTAGCCAATCGCAAGGTACCAGAACTAAAGCAAATTAGGAAAGCCTGGTTTAAACACCACCACCACCACCGCTTCCCTACACTCAACTAAATATTACATTATTTACTTAGAATTAAGGTCCAGAGCAAGTAGGCTTAGGATGAAAATTGCTGTTGGAAGAAACTAAGCATTTGGAGGGGTTCATTTCTAAATAGAAAGAAACCCAAAGTTCACTATACTAGCTTCAAAGGAAGAGCCAGAGCTTATATTTCTCCTCAGGTTTTTTTTTTTCCTCAGAAGACACCATAGAGTATGTGAAACATTTCCCACCCCTAATGGTCTCTGGCAAAGCAAGTACATTCCTTTTTCCTCATGGAACTGTAATTCTAGGGATGGGCAGTTCTGATTGGCTTGAGGGACATACACAATAAGCAGGGATAGGGTTGCCATCAGGAACTCTAGAAGGTAATATGGGTGCCTTGTACTGTATGTCAGTGGGAGTTGGTCAATGGGAAAGGCTGGAAAAGCACCAAACAGGTCAGCATCTTTGCCAGTTTGTAAATGGAGCTGACTTAGAATTGGAATATTGACATAGACATACAGAGTTTCTATCCTACTTCCTTCTCTGTTCTTATTTTTTAGTCATGGCTGTTGCTGAGGTCAGATCTCTTACAAAACTCTCTGCATCCCAGTTTCAATATTAACATATATTTGCTTTTGAAATACCAGTCTTGATGCCAGGTTGAGCTTTAGTGAGCGATTGACCTCAATAGGTAAGGCTCCCCATAGCAGCTGGCTCTGCTATATAGCTTATGTTGGAACACTTCTATCTGCTCATGCTTTGCTTTGGTCTTTCCAATCCAAGATGATGTTGCATTCATTCTTTGAATGTCTTGTAGAAATAACAATTGAGAGCCCTCCAGGCACAGGTACCAGTAGAAATTTTTGAAGATGGATTAATGCTGTAAGAAAATTCTCCTTCTGCTTCAAATGCAAACACCATCCAGTATAAGGATTGTCCTCAGGATCAAAACAGGAAAGGAAAAGATTTGCAGGCCATACTTGCTATTGTCCATTAATTGGTACACAGCTGATGCTGTTTTCATTTTTATAAACCAACATATTAAATTTCATGTCATACCTTGTTTGGTTTAGCTTTAGACAGGATAGGGGAATTTTATGCATTGTATCATTTTTTACTACTTTTACTGAGATAATGGGAACAGAACTTAATGTAATAACTGTATACAAAAAATAAACCTTATCTGAACCAAAAATACATTATAATGCAATGGATTACATTCTGAAAAATTAAGTACAGGTAGTTCTCTACTTTTTTTTTTTAAATTAAAAGTTTTACAAATTTAATACAATATAACCCAAGCCCCTCCCACCCCTTCCCCCCTCCCCCACTTCCCAGAGCTGATTACAGGGTAACAGATAAACAATCATAATCTAACTAACATTACCCGCCTATACTATCAATCAAACCATAACATACTTTAACTCATTTTTCAAAACAAATATTAACAAATTAAAAACAAAAATAATAATACAATTAAGCCATAACACTAAAAATAATATAAATTCAATCATATTAAACTATTAATAATAACCTAAAATCTACTCATAAGCAAGATAATACTTTTCAGTCTCATATTTCTTTTGAATATAATCAATCCATCTTCTCCAGACAGAAATGTATTTTTCTTGTGAATGATCCTTCAAATAAACGGAAATTTTTGCCATTTCTGCTAAATTAGATACCTTAAGTATCCATTCTACCATAGTAGGCAAATAATTTTTCTTCCAATATTGCCCCACCAATAATCTTGCAGCTGTTATAAGATTCAACATCAAATTAATTTCTTTAACATCAAAATCAACCATAATACCCAACAAAAATAATTGTGGAGTAAACTTTATCTTTCTCTTAAAAATCTTTTGAATATTCCACAGGTAGTTCTCAACTTATGACCACAGCTAGGACCAAAATTTCCATTACTAAGCAAGGCAGTTAAATGAGCCACACCCAATTTTGTGACCTTTTTACCATGGTTGTTAAGCAAATCACTGCAATTGTTAAGTGAACCATGTGGTCATTAAGTGAACTTAGTTTTCCCCATTCATTTTGCTTGTTGGAAGATGGTTAGGAAGGTTCCAGATGGTGATCACCTGACCCCTGGGCCACTACAACCATCAGGGCCAAGGGCTCAAAATTTTGATCATGTGACTATAAGGATGCTGTGATTCTTGTAAGTGCAAGGTCTGGTCATAAATTACTTTTTTTCATCGTACCTTCGAGTGATTACTGAATGAAAGGCTATAAGTCAAGGACTTCTTGTATAATAGTTTATCATATAACAAAGTCAGCATTTAAAAATGTTTCTTAAAAAGAATTATATCTAAAACCATATTTTGGTGTTGGAGGGAAAAAGCATTAATTACAAGATCTGTGTAATAGAACATCTCAGCAGGGCTGTCTTGGCAGTTATGAATTGCTTAAGTAATATTTTTATTTTTACATACAGTATTTCAGAGGACATTTTAATGCTTTAACGTAGCCTTCCTGTATTGAATTTCGCTTTTCCCTTTTTATTGATCCTGTTTTTTTCCTTCCTCAGGACACATTATTTAATTGTTTATTATTTGCTATGAATGCATTCTGAATGTATTTATGTGGCAATTGCCCACCCCTTTTTAATATTTAAACTGCACACTGTAAGAATTATTTCTCTGAAATAGAGTTTAAATGTCTTTTTAGTTGCTTTTTTGGTTTTAGAGTAGTATATGTTGTTTATGTCACGTCATAGTTATAATTCCTATAAATTTCCCCTTAGAACCATGTTAGTTCAGAACATTATTCATGTATTTCCAGAGTTAGGAGAAGATTGATATTTTTATTCTTCTCCTGGAACTTGAGTTATAAATGTCTAAGTGCCAAAAAAAAGTTTTCTATCACATTTAATAATCAATTTTACTTTTAACCTCTTCCTTCCCTTCAGTTTTTCTTTGCCCTGGACTACTAAAAGGAGTATACCAGAGTGAACATTTATTTGAATCTGATCACCAGTCAGGAGCCTGGTGTAAGGATCCACTGCAGGCTTCCGATAAGATTTACTACATGCCATGGACACCTTACAGAACTGACACTCTGACAGAATATTCTTCCAAAGATGATTTCATTGCTGGAAGGCCAACTACAACTTACAAGCTCCCACACAGAGTGGATGGCACAGGGTTTGTGGTGTACGATGGGGCTTTATTCTTCAACAAAGAAAGAACAAGGAACATTGTCAAATTTGATCTACGGACAAGAATAAAAAGTGGGGAAGCTATCATTGCTAATGCCAACTATCACGATACATCCCCTTATAGATGGGGAGGCAAATCTGATATAGACCTGGCTGTTGATGAGAACGGTCTTTGGGTGATCTATGCAACAGAACAAAATAATGGTAAAATAGTCATAAGTCAGCTAAACCCTTATACCTTGAGGATTGAAGGGACATGGGATACATCCTATGATAAAAGGTCAGCTTCCAATGCATTCATGATCTGTGGCATTTTATATGTAGTTAAATCTGTGTATGAAGACGATGATAATGAAGCTACAGGAAATAAAATTGACTATATATACAACACTGAACAAAGCAAGGAAAGTGTAGTGGATGTTCCATTTCCAAACTCATATCAGTATATTGCTGCAGTGGATTATAATCCAAGGGATAACCTTCTTTATGTATGGAACAACTACCATGTGGTTAAATATTCATTGGATTTTGGACCAATGGACAGCAGAACGGGTAAGGTTCTTTGATAAGTTTTATTTTCTGTCATATCTTGCTTTGCAACTAATTTAGTCTGTGGCTAAGGAGAGTTTTTTTCCTTCCATTAAAAGCAGCAGGATGGGAGTTTGACGGGAAAATAGAACAAAAACTTTTCTCTGTGAATGTTTTTCTTTCATCTTAAACAGCCTTCCTCTCCTTGGCTACTACTCCAGTGGAGATGAGAAAGACAATGATGGGATTCATGTATCCCTTTATGTAAGCCTTAGGAGGTTTATCATTTATTCATGTTGTGGGTACAAGTCATTGTTATTCATTTGCATTGTTATTTATAGAAACATGGAAAACTGACAGCAGAAAAAGACCTAGTGATCTATCGAGTCTGTCCTTTGAATGTTTTTATTACGTGATTTTATTTCTATTTGTGTTGGATGATGAATGTGTATTTATCCCAAGCATATTTAAACTCAGTTACTGATGACTGACTCACTACCCCCATTGGAAGTTGGTTCCAAGCTTCCACTACTCTTTCTGTGAAATAATACTTTCTAACATTACTTCTGAAGTTCCCTCCTATCAGTTTGAGGTTGTGCCTCTATGTTCTTGATTTTTGCTTAATATTGTACAGGCTTCTAGAACCTTATTCACAGCCTTAATATATTTAAAGGTTTCAATCATTTCCCTTCTGTCCTCTAGGCTGTACATATTCAATCTCTCTTGATATGTTTACTCCCTCAGACTTTGCATCATTTTTGTTGCCCATCTCTGGACTTGCACAATGTTATCAATAACTTTTTATAAGTGAGGTCTCCACAACTGGACACAGTATTCCAAATGGCATTTATCTAAAGTCCTATATAGATTATGATTTAGATTTACAATTTGATGTTATATGTAAATTCACAAATTGTGCACTATTCAACAACCATGTTTAAACAAAATATATAGCTTATATCTTCGAACACAGTCATAATCTTTATAGTTAGTAAATATATTAAACCTCAGGTAGCAAGCCAAAGAGTGTTCAGTTTTAGGTTAACTCTGCATAGTTGCAATATATTAGAAAAAGCTGCTTTAGAATGTGAGGATGCATGTAGAAAGCATCTTTTGAATAATTAAATAGCCGTCTTTCTAAGGTTTGTGCTGCTTCAGAAGCATCTCTACAAATAAAGGCAGAGGCAGAGGCAACCAAACTAAGCTTTCAAAAGCTTTCGAAATATGCACTTCCTTTACCAATTCAAAACAAGGTACTTTGCAAATTCTGCTTTGCATTCCCAAATTCTGCTTTGCATTCTAAGCACCTTTTGTAAAGATTGAGAATGTGGGGGTGCCACTAGTTCACTTTGCAATAATCATGGCATTTAGGTTGGTTAATGTTTTACATGTGCGTAGGTGAGGCAACTCTTGTAGTGCCTCCTCTTTCAGGATGCTAGGCTTGGGAAGCTTGGAAGTCTGGAAGGTGAGATGTCCCACCTCCTTGCTCTTCCCATCTATCATGCCTGATTAAATTATCTCTGCCAGCAGTTTTGTTTAGCTGTGGTACTGCCTAGAGAAAAGGTGGAATCCTGATGAGACAGCAGACATCATTGGCTGAGCAATAATTTCCTTACATCACTTTTGAGACATGATCCCACAGGAAAAAAACAGAACTCTTGTAAAAATACTGCCACCAATGTCCTGCCAGTTGGTCAATGACACCATGTTCATGGTGATGGAGTGGCAGCTTCCCTGTTGAACTCCTAATGATGTTCAGTAGCAGGGAAAACTGATTTTCACACACAAAAAGTATCCCAATTAACAAAAAAACTACCAAAAGTGAAAAAGGCTGCCATTTGGGGACCATGTATTCAAAGTAAAACATAAAATATAGGATCCAGAGAACCTATTTGCTGAAAATATAGTGACTTCAGTGCTACCATCCTTAAGAAGTTGATCAGTGTGGAGTTCACTGGTGAACTCCAGTATTAATTCAACATGCAGAATGTAGATGAACTTGGGAGACAGAAAAAGTAAATTTTAAAAAGAAAGCAAATCATTAAGAAAAGTGGCTTGGCCTGAATATAGAGGAAATATTTGAAGCTTTATTAGTTGGGATGCTTCAGAAGAGAAATTCATCACCCTTATAGAGAAGATATTTCTGACTCATGGTTAAGCATACCGGTAACATGATAGAAGATCACTATACATGCAGTTTGTAGGGGGTTTTTTGCTAAAAGCAATGCTTCAGAATATATTTTCCAGTTATTGAAAGAAAACTTGTATTTACTTATTAAATTTATATCCTGTCTTTATTTTGTGCAGTTCAAAGTAATAATGCTCCTCTGTCCTTTTATTCCTTTTTTCCATACAACAACAACCCTGTGGGATGGATTGGGCTGGGAGAAAATGATTGGCCCAAGTCACCCAGCCAGCTTTCATACCTACCTGAAGGCTTAAACTCACAGTCTCCCAGATATTCCAAGCTTTTCTAATTGATCAACAGGATTTTTAATTGATTACCTTAACAACTGTTACATGAATTTTGTATTGTTTTAAAGCAATGTTTACTGTTTAAGAAAAAAAGTATATTGTTGCAGTGTTGAACTTTTGTATACTGTTGTTTTCTGGAAACTTTTATGTAGATTGAAATGAGATGGTGATTCCCATTTTGTACTCAAAGGAATGAAACCAAGGAATGGAGGAATTCAGAAGAGAATTAGCAGACCATCAGTTTTCAGCAGCAGAACAGACAAAATGGAGATTAAATAGAAACACAGAGAAAGGAAATGGACTCGTGGTTTGGTTTGGCAAGGAAAGAAAAGTGCCTTGTGTAGTACAGGGAATAGAAAGATAGCCATCAAGATATGTTTTTATTTCTTTTGTTCCTATAGCACTGATTTTTTTTGAAGAGCAACACTTTACCTAATCTCTGGAGTGACATAGAAGAAATCTAAAAATACACACCTGTGACTCATTTACTAGAAGAATGTTGTGTCTGTTCTTACACACTATTTTTCAGTACAAACAAATCTGAACTTGTTTATACTATAGCTTTAAAATATCAATTGGCCCTTAGTACCATCCTGTTGAAAATGTCATTGCTGTAGTTGTAGAATACAGGCAATAATTCTTTATGGAGATAATTGTCTAAAGAAGGTCATGAAGGGCATCTTGCAGGTCCTCTGTATGTAGTGTAGCTTTTCTTTTCAGTAGCCATGATTGAGTAAAAATCTTAAAATATATGTCCCCTAAATCAGGGCTTTTCAACCAGTGGTACGGGTACCACCTGTGGTACATTGGCACCTGGCAGGTGGTACGCGATCATCCTAGAAAAGTGGTAGTGGGGGAGGGGAATGAGCTGAATCGGTGGCAGCACCACACAAGCCTGAGCGAGAGACGGCTGGAGCTGCAGGGCTGTCAGGGCTCAGTGGAAGCACTAGGATCAGCATCAGGCTACAGCTAGAGTTCGGTGCTGATCCTGGCACTTCTGCTGAGCCCAGAAGAAGCGCTGATCAGCTGGAATGTTGCAACATCTCCAGGATCTTGTGATTTACATTCAGAAGCTTGGCCACTGATTCATATTTAAGACGGTCACAGTGTCCCAGGGTCATGTGAAGTGACCAAAACCTAGTGCAACTACCTAGCAGACGGGGGGGAATAAAAACCAAACACTCCCCCACCCCAGCCTCACTGCCAATCCTCAACAGAAATGCTCACAACAATGAAAACCTTGGACAGGAAGAAGAGCGCTGCCGGGTAGGCAGGCAAGTGTCTTGCTCTGCTGTACCTTGGGGGACACTTTTTTCAGTGCCATTGTAACTTCGAACAGTCAATGAGCGAACTGTTGTAAGTTGAGGACTACCTGTACTTTATGACTTTTTTTCTTTTTCTTTTCTTTTTTTTCTTTTTTTTTTTTTTTGGTCATCAAGTTTTTGACACCTTGCTAGGTGACTGGTGGTACTCGGATATTGCCATATCCTAAAAGTGGTACAATGGGTGAAAAGGTTGAAAAGCCCTGCTCTAAATGATACAAAATGATACAAAAAATAAAATAGAATATTTAAAAGAAAAAATACCAGCCCCGAACAACAGAAACAATAGCAACTGAGACACTAACAAACATTGCTTAGTAGCAATGATCACCTCCCACATTATCAATCTTCAAAGGCTTTTTGGAACAGCCAGATTCTGGATGCCTTCCTGAAGGCCAACGGAGATGGTGTGAGTTGACCTCGGGTGGGGCTTTGCTTCAAAGGAGAGGAGTAACTACAGAAAAAACATACCCTCTTGTTCCTGATTATGGGAAGGATAGTACTTCAGAAGTCATTTATCAATGGATTAGCAGAAGCTATTGAGAGAATATGATCACACAAATATCCAGAGCCTAAGTTGTAGTTGTCAAGACTGAGGCACAATTAAAAGTTACACAAGATGCTTATAGCTCAGTCCAGAGAAGCAGCTCTCATCTCTACAGTAGTGGTAGTAATAATTAATTGATTGGTGTTATGGCCATATCAAATAAAAATAAAATACAGGGTCTAATTCCAGGGTAAAATAGATAAAAGGAAATACCCACAGGAATTTCCAGGAACAAGGTTAAGAGTCAGAAGTTTATCAACAGACTCAAAATCCTAGACTATGTAAATACCACCAAAGGATGACAAACTACAATCCTCACGTCCTACTCATTTTCCTTATCTTCAAACTTAAAGCCTCTGACTTCTCAAATCAGAGTGATCCAGAAACATGCAAGTTACAGAAACTGATTTTTTTGAATCAGAATAATCCCTAGATGCTATTAAAGTAACAAGCATACTTATCACTTCAGAGATAGGAAATTGACATTTTAACCTTATCTCTTATATGTTTCTGGTTTACATATCAATTACAGCTCAAAGGAAGGAAAATATAGTAAAATAGGACCCATTATATTGTAAAGGAAAACCAAACTGAAGAATATTGTTTCAGGAAAGAAAAACAAAGGAGTATAAGTTGTTCTATACTTTCATTCTTTTGGATACATTAAGATGGTGATAAAC